TGCTCCGACTGCACAGGAGGGTGCTTCCACGGCGATGCTGCAGCCGGCTCCTGCCCAGCACCTGGGGAGGTTTCCACACCCTCACCTTGATTTACTTGGTAGCACAGCTTTGATTATCCTTCAACCTGCTGTGCAGGGGATTCCCATTCTGCCACCAGCTTCGGTCCCAAAATCTGGGAGAACGTGCAGGAGACACGAGGAGCAAAGTGTGGCTGTGGGAAACATCGTGGCTGTGCGCTGGGCTGTGACGCCTTGCTGCTTCTCGCAGGGCACGGCAGAGCTGGGGGCACAGCTCCGTCCCCTGACACTGGCAGGGTAAGCTCGACTTTCGTTCTGCCCTCTGCAGCTGTTTTGTTTGTTTGTTTGTTTGGAACGTGCTTCCTGGACAGCCTGCAGCAGCTCAGGGTTTGACATTTGAAATCCAACCTCTCGGTGGCAATGGCTGGTTTTGATTTGACACTCAGGTCACACACTGCACTTTATTTTCCTGCTGGACAGCTTGCCTTCTGGAGATAGAGCCTTGCTTAGTCCACATCATCCCATTAAAACCCATTTTTCAACTTAGCAAATGCTTGGGAGAGGAACTCCATCTGCGTACGGCTCCCAGCAGAGCCCTACTGTGGCTGCGACTGCTGCCTTGTGCTGTCATACCAAAGGGAAACAGCTAACACGTTGTTTTCTTGCATATTATCTTGCAATACCTGACTGAAGAAAAGAGATCTGAACTCAACTTAAAAAAAATGTGTAAAATATGAATGTTTAATTAAAAAAAAAAAAAAAAAAAAAAAAAAAGCCAAATACAATATTTTTTCCAGCCCCTGCTTTGGTCTTTCTGCTCTGTCTGTCTCTCTGAGTGTGCCCACCCCATCCCAGCCACCCAGTCTGGCTTCTCACTAACACCCCTCGCATTCCACAGAGGCTCCTTTCCAGCAGGGAGGAAAAAAATCTATTTGCATCCCATCGACTGAGCGCCTTAAGTGCTGAAACTAGTAGACCAAATGAGTTTATTAGATTATCATTGCGGAAGTTAATAAAGAATTAATTTCTCCTCATGTGACATCCAAAGGCAGTTATTTCTGTGGCATGTCCATTTACACAAAGCCAAGAATTTGTCAAGTGTCAAACTCAATTCCCATGACCCAGGCCTCCTCAATAATTCTGGATTAGGAATACCCTTAAATGACATTACAAAAATTTTATTCCGAGATGCATTGAGCTCTGGGGACTACTCAGGAATTTCAGGTTAGTGAAGGTTATGCAGTCAGCAAAAGCTCGTTGGGGACAAGACCCAGGGTGGAAGGATGCTGCGTGCTCTGCCAGGGGAAGGCAGCATGCAAAAGAGAAGGAGCAGATTTCCAAAAGGGGTCTTTAGTTCCGTTTCTCTCCCCAGGAAATGATGCAGAGAAGGTTTATCTGCACTAACAGTGGAATTTCCAGCAGTGGAATTTCCAGCAAATGATGTTCTGCAGGAGGAGTAAGAGGAGGAGGAGGAGGCAGAACAAAGTCATCAGAAGCTGCTGTGGGAATTAAGTAAAATGTCTTCCTAAACACCGAGTCAGGTATCCCAGCAAAGGAAGGGAAACCTCTTCTTTGCTCTCCTGTGCTCAGTAGTTTCACCTCTGCACACAGACCGTACTGGGAGAGTGCAGAGTTTCCCGTCAGTCCTCTAAAAGGGAAATGCTGAAGGATGGGACTTCTGCATAGATTCTAGGTAATGGATGAAAGCGAGAAGGGAAAAAGATCCATTGACATCCCTCTGCCCATTGGAAAAAGAGAATCCTCCTGCATACATTGACGTGATTGCATTTCAAGGTTATATGAAAAAGGGAAGCTCCATGTTAATCAGGAGGAAGAGGTGCTGAGTGCCAGACCCCTCTGGTGGGGATGACGCACCTTTGAGATTCAAACAGACAGATTCCAGCATCGTTTTAATCATTATTAATTTTTCCTTTGAAGGAGTCACTCCATCATCTCAGCAAATGAATTTCCTTCCCTCCCCCCCACCTCCTCTGTGTCTTGCCTTCCTCCTCATTGCCAGGACATTACAAATGCCTTCTGATTAATGCTGAAATAAATATGATCTTCAGCAGGAATCTGGCCCTGCAGTGCTCTGCATGTGGGGCAAAGCCTTAGCCATGGTCTGCTCTTCCTGCTCCATGCCTGTGCTCTGTGATGATGTGGGAGGCTGTTGTGAATAGAGCTGGGGAACAGGAGCAGGCACTTCCCACCCTGGATCTCAGGAAATAGCTCAGCAATAAGTCATTGCCCGGAAAGGCTCCTGCATTTTTAGGAGCGAGACTTGGTTTCACCTCAACTGCCTCCATAGCCTGACAAGTGTCTGGGGTGCAATGCTGTTTGCTTCCCAGGGCTGCCTAGAAGTTTGCTGACTAAGCCAAGCACACAGTCTAGACTTCTTCAACTGTCCTGGGAAAAAGGCAGCATCCTCACAAACCAACTTATCTGCCCCAACACGCTCACCCAGACAGAAGGGTGAATCGTCCCTCAGAGCCTCCCATCATCTCTCTGGATGACAGCAGCTGGCTCCCAGCCTGGGTAAGGTGCCCAGCCAGGACGAGCTGTGGTTCTGAGCTGCCCTCCTGCCCTCATCTCAGCTACACAAGTCCACCAAATCAACCATGTCCTGTCACAAACTTGTGGGCTGCTTCCTATAACAGACTGTAGAGAGCAAAAAATGAAGAAAAGGAAAAGCAGATGTGATGCCCATAGGACCTGTGATACCTGGATTTATGTGGCTGCTCACACCTCGTCTATGCTTAGCTTCAGCCAGGTGTAAGTTAGTGACTGAAAGTAAGCATGTGTTGGATTGCTCTGATGAACTGGGATGGATAGGAACATTTCTCACCAACTCCAGAGTTGTGCATAGCCATATAAGCATCTGAGGTAAGTGAGATGGCTCTTCCCTACTGGAGAGGATATGCTATGGGTTGTTGAACTCCTCTTAAAAAGTCCATGTTAGAAGATTAAATGCAGCTATGATTTCAAACGTTTCACCATCTGACCAGGCTGTTATCTCCTTAAATTCTGTGCACAGGAATTATATTTGGCACAGTCCCTCCCCCCAAAAATCTTCAAGTCTTGTTCAGCGTAGAGTCTCTGAACGAATGTTTGCAATCAGTTGCATTGCCCATGGAAACAGAGCCATGTGGCCTTGCACAGGGTCGTGTCCCACCTACAACAGCTCACCAAGGAGACCAAAGAGCTCTGGTGTCTGAGCTGAATGGGGGTTCTTCACCTCCTCTGCACCACCTTTCACTCCATTCTCATCTGCCTGGATTGGCCTAAGTTGGACAGCATGGCATGAATGCAGAAATGCCTCTGTTGTGGAAAGACACAGCAAAGATAACAAATGACTTCCACTAAACATTTTCCATGAGTATCCTGAAAGTGAGAAAATCAAAGTGGATGACTAAAAAGTAGTCAAATCGACACAAACTGCTGTGAAATCTCATAGAACCTCTTGCTAGAGCAACACTCCTGATGTTTACCCTCGTTATAGGATGCTATGCACTGAGCCTCACCTCCCAGATGGGATCCTGGGCACGAGCACTTTGGCAGCTTTCTGAGCTCCTTCCTGTGCTTGATTGTCCCTAGAAATGGAGTTACTCTAGAGCCACATATTTCTGGGATATAAATAGGGATCTCATGGATAACCTTTTCCTTTCTCCCAGGAGGTGAAATATGGTGAGGTGGCTTTGATTTAGAGCTTGGCCAGCCTCCTCCTGTTGCAACTCCTTAAATAATCTGATTCCTTCCTCTCTTAGCAGCACATTTCCCTACTTTTTAACATCCAACAAAGCCTTGCTCGCAGCACACATTCTGAAATTCCTCCCAGCCAGAAGCCTTCAGGACAGGAATGTGTGTTGGAGCCTTGGGTCCAGCCTCACTGCTTCGGGCTGCCAAATCCCAGCACCAGGACAGCAACTAAGTGCTGTGTTAGTGAGGGGTTTGGTTTGGCTGTTTGGATGGCTCCAGGGGGGACAGCAGCAGCCTCTCAAAGGCTCACCCCATCTTGTGCAGCTGTGTGGAGCAGGAGCATCCTCAAGGAGCTTCTCACTGTCTCAGCTTGCCAAGGGCCCTGATGAATGACTGCCATATCCTGATCAAAAAGTCTCACCAACAGTTTTAGTGTGTCTGTGTCCCCCTAGTTAAGATAAATTAGACAGGCTAATGAGACTGATTAGTCTTTAGCTGTGACCCTTGGCCTTTAGGATGTACTTTGAGCTAATAGAGAGAATGGGGATTATAGGCTGTGATAATGTGCTTGTGTTGGCCTTTTAAAGGAAAACACATTTATTGCTACTTAGAGGAAATTGATCTAATTGTGCTGGAAGCATTTCTACGGACTGAACATGGAATTTTTATTAAGTAGGTGACCCAGGTTCAGCTGGAATTGCCAGATTCGAAGCAGGCAGGAGACATTTTCAGGAGATCCCACCTGGCAGCCCCTCTGGCTGCCTCTCCAACCGATAACGACTTGCACTCCTCCTGACTTTGATCTGCTGCTGTGTGTATCAGGCATCAGAGCTCCAGGAACTTGGACTGCAATCCCCAGGTCTCGTGGCTCCGCTCCAAGCCAACAAATCATCAAAAGCTGCCAGTTGTGTTTACACATTGACTAAGGGTTCAACTATTTGATTCCTTTCTCCATCAGCAAAACAAAATGGTTCCCGTAGTTACAGGGATTCCCAGAGGGAAACGAGGAAACCATTGGGTGCATTTGAGAACAGCCTGGACTACAAGGTGCTTTGCAGCCTGTCTTACTCTAATGAGAGGGTTTGATTCATAGCCCAAAGCCACACTTTTTCTGCTTCACACACAAAAAGCAGAGGTTGTGCTCTTGCAAGCTGTCTCCAATAACATCTATCAGATATCCTGCCCTCCAGTATATTTAGATTTAGTTGTTTTCCAGAGAGCTTTGGCACATATTGGGAAGGCAGTTCTGGGTGGGGAGAGCAATGCTCTAATGGGGGAATCTCTGCTCACATGAACTATGTCTGGAGTATTGATAAAAGTTCTCAGACAGGCTTCATGCTTGAGCAGGAGATCCCAGTCAGCAAAATCCAGAAGAAATAAAGTCTTCCAAAAGCAAAACTTTTTCCTTATCAGAGCATCCATTCCCTCTGGGCACACTGGAACAGTGTGCAGTATGCAGATCCACAGCTCTCAGCAGAATAAGCACAAACTACATGAGTTTAGGTGCAGAAAGCATCAGCAGCCACTGCAAACTCCTATGAAACCACAGCACTCAGTCTGCGAGTTGTAACATGAGCTAAGAGCAGCTGGTAAGGACTCATTTTGTCTTGCTGAGCCTTCAGCTAGTTGTAAATCTCACTTGAAGTGCTGGCAATGGTGGAAACTCTTAGGGCTAAAAGGCCGTACCATGTTTCTCAGAAAAGTCTTTTCTTCAAATCTCCTTTATCAGCCTTGCTGTTACACTGTGAGCAAAAGATGGAGGACCTACCAACATTCAGTTCAGGAAGGGTAAACTGCCTGCTCAATCCTCATATTCTTCATAGAATTAAAAAATTATTGAGGCTGGAAAAGACCTTTAAGATCACCAAGTCCAACCCCTATCTGTTCCCACCATATCTACTAACAATACCCCTCAGTGCCACATCCCCTGAACACCTGCAGAGACAGTGACCCCACCATCTCCCTAGGCAGAAGACACTACAAGTGTCATGGTTGGTTGATTTCAGTAGCCTCCACAGTAAATCAAACACAACGGAAGCACTGCAGAGCTTAACTAGAGAATTTACACTTGAAAATGCTGCCTTCCAAGGGATCTACAAACACCAGAGAATCTCTTCTCACTTCTACGCTTCACTTCAGTGCAGATCTAGCAGAATTCACTGCTTTATGGACAGGAAAAAAAAATATCAGTAAGTCACGGCTCAAGGCAGGTTGCAAAGAGATTTCCAAGTCTGCTTTCAGAGGTCTCTCTTTTATATAACTTCTGAAGATTGCCATTTGGCCAGGTCAACAGCACTGATGTGCTTAATCTATGGAGAAAAGTGGTACATTTACTGTATATTACTGCAGTGATCAAGAGCTCCATCCTGGCTCAAGACTACACAGTATGTCCTGTGTCAGCAGAGAGGGGAAGTGAAGTCCTTCTCATCAGTGAGTGAGAAGATATCTCTGAGTGAGGAACATGGCCTCTCCCGCAGGCAGATGGTCACCACATTGTAATCTGAGGGGCAAATCCCACAGAGAAATCTCCTTGGATGTGTTTTCTTCACTGAACCAGCTCCCAGTTTCTGCTGGCAATCAATTTCCAGAGCTCTCCAGATACCGTTCCTATAGAAATGGCTGCTAAAACTGTTGTGAAAGAGTAAAAAGAAAAAAAAAAAAAGCAAACTGAAACCCAACCACCAAAAGCCACACTGTAATTAGAAACAAAGGCAGACAAAAATAAACAGAATACATGAATTAGAGACATTTAGGGCAAATTAATGGACCTATGCTGAGACCTGTGCTGTTCTCAGTAAACAGAGAGCCTATCCTTCTGGTTTCTGCAGCCTGGATTAGTGTATTATTTTGTTCTGGAGATTGAGAGGACTTGTCAGGACTTGAATGCTGATGGCTGTGTGCTGCTGTCTGGTGCCTGATCTCAACAGGAGCAATGGCATCCACTCCTAGAGGAGGAGAGCTTGCTTGCAGAGAAGGCAAGGCCAGAGCCATCTGAATGAGCTATGCTCTGCAGCAGCTTGTTGATGAGTATGTTATCATCACAAGAGAGCCTGTGGCTTTGTGGCACCATTGCCTGAAACCCAAACACTGCTACCAGCCATGAGAATTACTGAAAGGGCTTAGCAGAAAGGATTGTCAATCTTGGATGGTGGGGCTGCCCACTGGCATGCAGTCCTGTTCTCCTCACATCCTATATCCACCCACAGAAACAAGCTGGGTAACTGTCTGCCAGCAGCTTCATCTGTCACTGAGAGATGCTCTCTGTCCATCCGACTCCAGAGGGAACCAAAGAGAATTTGGCATGCCCATCCCTCCGGGGAGCTTCCTTCTATCTTGGTGATAACAATTCCACCAAGGCACCTGTTCTATAGAATGTAGTGATCTAACATGCTCTTTTATTTACATAAAAATCACACAGCAAAGGGTAAACCCCCAAGCTCATACTTGCAGCTTGCACCCCAAGTGAACCCATGTGAAAAACAACCTGTTTTTATTATATGCAACTCCTTCCTCTGTGACATCACCTAGTCATTAGTCAGGATGATCCTTGGCACTCTTTGTACTCAGGCATCTTGCAGTAAATAGTCTTATCACCCTTTTACAGCTATGGAAATTGAGGTTTTGACCTTGTTTGAGTCAAGGGAATCCATGGGGCCAACAGCACAGGAGAACTTCCCCGTCTCTGCACTGGTCCCACTTTGCTGATCAAAGGTTTGAGCCACAGCCCTGAAATCAATGGAAAGACTCCTAAGCACCCAGAGATCACTATATAATGCTCTATTGTACATGATAAGTCCTGAACTTTGCTTTGCTTTTCCATGAAATGTTTTCAGACACAGAGCAATCAGACGAGCAGGAAAAGATGGTCAGCCAGGGTAACACCAGCTGTGGCTCCAGTCCAAAAATTACATGGTACTGATTTCATTGAGAATTGGTCACTTCCCCTTTCTTCATTGGCAGCACTGATTCAGAGGTACTGGCAGGTCAGGCATCACCCAAGGCTGGAAGAGCTGAAATTCTCCAACATCCTATAGTTGTCGGAGGGATCTGGGTGTTCAGCTGCAGTTCGTATGTATATGTGTGCATGGAAATAAGAAGCATCACCTTTAGCTTCAGGAGAGCAAAATATCAACATGAGATATTGCAAGCAAACGAAGTCTTAGCCTGACTTGGAGCTTATCTCCTACAGTTTCCAAGAATCCTTTAAGCTGGATCTCCTGGGTATAATGATTTTTTCAGAAAAAGAGTTCTTCAAAACAATTTGGGAAGTTCTGTCACTGAAAGAGCTAATTATTGGCATAGAACAGAGAAAGGATGTGATGCTGCAAAACTTGGAGTATCTCCTCAAAAGATAGTTTGGGTGATAGGATCCTAAAATGGGATTTGAGGATGATTGGGATCCCCAGAACTGGAATCAGTTAGGTTATCAGTTAGGAATCAGAAGGTTATCAGAGAGGGCTCAACTGAAACGTTTGCATTCAACACCCTGTGCTGAGCAGGAACATCCCTGGATCCAGTCCTTATGGAATATTGACTCAGTCACACCCCAGAGATTAAAATTACAGATCCTCGGTTGGAGGCCCAGTTTTGCCAAGGTATTTTATAAAAACACAGCTGAACACTTGCTGGTGTTTCTCTAGGACATGCATCCTGAAGAACTGAACTTCTGCACCATTGTATCAGAAAAGGCACAGATCTTCACATGGCATAAGTCAGCATTGGCCTTTGCACCGAGTTTTGGCCAAGCAGCCACTGTGTGAGCAGAGGGCTCCTGTAGGTGCCATTTCCAGGATGAAGAGCCAAGCCACGCTTCATCCAAGCTCTACATGAGGAAGATACTTTGAGTAATTTTGGAAACCTGAGGCCTCAAGAAATTCCCGCTTGTGATTGCTTGTATCTTTACTGGCTGTCTTTTCCACTTCTCCCTCTCAGATTACTGGGCTAGTGACAAGGAAATACAGAACAGCCACCCAATCAAATTACAGAACATTAAAAAGGTCAAGTGCCTACAGGTTGCTCTCACACCAACAGTGGGAATCAGATTTCCTGGTGTCTCAGTATAAGTGACTGACAGTGTTAACCAGATAAGCAATTGGGAACTTGTAAGTCTATCTAAAAGCAGAAGTAATTTGCCAGTGGATCTCTTTTCGAGAGAAAGTGTGTGAGGATTAGATTTCCTTGAAATTTCTGCCTCGTGGGTGACAGCAACCTGACCGTTCTTCTGTGCTTTCCTCTGCCCACTGTAGTCAGGATATCACCAGTATGGTAGTTTCTATAGAACTGATGATGCCACAGGGGGATGAGAGAGGAGCAATAAATAAAGGGAGTAATTGTCACTGGGAAATACTGCTTGTAAATACTGTCCTCTGGATGAATACGGAGGAGGTGGGACAACTGAAGCTCTGGCAGATGCCTCTCTGATGGTCCCTGTCAGCCAACAACCACAACTCCAGCAGCCAGGAGACACCGCAACCTTGTTGTTATCCACAAAGACTCCCCCTTCCTAGGTGAAAAAGTGGTGAGAAGGAGTTCCATGCACTGCAGCAATCTAGTGAAAGCCTCAGAGAGTAATATGCCTGTAACACAGTGGAAAGTGCAGCAATGATGGCGCAGTAGCAAGGTCCTAGGATACAACAGCCATGGGCACAGAAATAAAGAAAAGAAGCTGCTTACCTTCAAAAGGTCTCAGGTACACAGGAATCTCCAACAAGATATTCTCATCTCTACTGCCAACCCTTAAATGAGGTCTGGGAAAGGGTGGATCCTGGCTCCAGCCCTTCTGGTCACTCATGTACATTGCATACATCTGAGCTCCCCTGGATTGGCCCTGCCTTCCACCAGGTGCTCCATCACTGCTTCAGACCATGATTTAGCATTTCTTCAGTGTCCTTACTGAATGGGCCTTCTCTTCAAGCACCATCAAACTAAACATTTTGACAGAGATTGTCAAAGACTCATTTGGAAGTCTAGATATTCCATTGACATTGGCCACGGGTAGCAAGTGTCAAATCACGAGTGACATCCAGCTCTGCAGTTCTTGGTGCCTTGTTTCTTACGGGCCATGGCCAGGGCTGTGAGCTCTTTCACAGAGGTTTTGCTTCCAATTTACCCAGGATCAGATCAGTGTAGAACAGTACCAGTGATCAGTGGAGAACAGACTGTACAGAAAAGCTCTGTCTCTGTAGTCTCCATTTTCATCCACTCTTTCTGGATGTGATGCTTGAGATTTGAAGGGCTGTTATGCTTCATAGGAGCAACTTTCATTTGAGGGGATAGCAGCCCTAGATGTACCAAGTAAATGAAGTCCTGTCACCTTGGCAAGTCAACATTTCCATCTCCCCCTTCATTATTTATTTATTTATGGTTCCTGAAAGCTATTTCCCAAATTCTCCTCCCTCGCCTTCCTCCCCCTACTTTGTTTTAATGAATTGCGGATTGAATTCCAGAGCACGCGTGTGAGGCAGAGATGATGAAGCACCCAGCCTGATGGCAGTCCTGTAAATGCTACGGCGGCTTACAAAGAGTTAATTCATTACAGTCCATTGTCCAGTCGACTTTGTAGCTAGCAGCAGATTGGAGCCGACTTGAAATGCTGAAGTGGGAATGAAAAATGAGCAAAGCCTTGGTGTGCATTAAATATTTAATATTCTCTCAGTGGGAGGTGTCAGGAAAAGGACCATATAATAAATACTACGAGAGACAATTCCATCACTGAACTCGTCTGTTAATGACCTCATTTGCTTTGACAGAAACATTACAGATGCAGCCTCTTCGCTTCTGTGGCCCTATTAAGCAGGCCACATTCCAGTTGGAGAGCAAATTCCTGCTTCTGCGGCATGGAGGAGTGGGCTGGGGCGATGATTGCCTCCTTCTGTCTCTTGGTTTCCTGCTCTCTGGATATGGGGTATTCAGAAGGAATTCTGTGTGGCATGAAAGGTATTTGTGGTAGCTGCATGACTCTGGCAAGGAGATTGGAACTTTATCATATTCACTAGAATACATGATCTCTAGAAAAAACTCCTTCTGCAGAGGATCTGAGCACCTCCCCCCATCTTCTCTAAGCTGGGCAATGTGGTGCAGTCCATCTCCTGTTTGATTCCTCAGAGACTTCTCATGGCAAGGACAGCGGGGTCATCATAGGGGTCTCCTTGGCCAAGTTCTGGTGCATGCTTCCCATTTGAGTCCCACCACGTTCCAGGAGCACCTGCTGTTAGATCATGGGGTTTCCTAGCCCATACTGTGGCTTGCAGCTCTGTTGTCACATAGAGGCTGATATTCTGTCTGAATATCACAGTTACAGGATTTTAGCTTCAATCTAAGCGGAGAAATTTCGCCTGAGAGATAGAGCAAAGTTGGACAAGCTTCAGCTGACAGACAAGCTCCAATCCTTGACCATCTCCAGCACCTTCTCCAAGGCACTGAAAGTCCCCAGTGAGAACATCTCGCTTTGTCTTGTCCACTGTTTCTGAAGGGTCCTCAAAGGCATTTAATCTTTCCATTTAGCACTTGAATGTATTAACATCCATTTTATGTACAACTGATCTTTTGCCTGTTTTCCCCTATGATTTAACTAATTCCCTTTCTACCAGGGCAGATAGACCCTGTAGAGCTTTTTGCCTCTCTGGCATCTGTTGGCCTGGTTAAGAGAATCAGTGTCTTCACATCTCTCTACACAAGTTCTCAAGGGCCCTCAGTATCTCTCCTTTAAGGACTTGCACACACTGCAAGTCATAGGCAAATTATCTTCCTGCATTTGCCTGGTCTTTTGTTTCCTCCTATTTTATACCATGAGTAGGTTCCTGGGTAGCCTGATCTGGTGGGGAGCAACAATCCCAAGGCAGTGAGTGGAGTTGGGGTGGGCTACAACGTCCCTTCCAACCCAACCATTCTGTGTTTTTATATTAAAAGTTGAAAGGGATTGTGAGGTTATGCTAGGAGCCTTAGAGACCCTTTGTAGTAGCACAGCCTGGGCATCTAAGCTGCTATCAGGGGACTCCAGAGTACAAGCTCAGCTGCCAGCCCCATTGCTTAGCATCTGATTTTTGGAATGGATCGTAGCCTAGGGCAGCAGGGTGCTGAAAGCAAACACAGAACCACAGAACTGTATGGGGTGGAAAGGACCTCTGGAGTTCATCTTGTCCTTCCCCCTGTTAAGCAAGAAGAGAGAAGGGGGAAAAGGCTGGCAGTGATGGGAAGGGGATGTGTCCCATGCTGTGTGGGCTGTGCCGAATACTGCGTTCAGTGCATTACAACAAGGCAGTTGTTTGTAGTGCTGGCTCCGTGCAGCGGGGAGATAAGGTTCTGCCTTTGTATCAGAAGCAGCTGCAAAGGGGCGGAAAGGTCTTAGAACAAGAAATTGGTTCGTTTGAATTCTCTTCTCCTGCTTTGCCTCCTTCAAGGTACAGCACACCCCCAGTGCTTGTACCCCACATTGATACCCTGCTACATGCGTGTGGCCCATAACTATGGCGGGAAGACAATGACAGGGTAGAAAATGCTTGGTGAGAGGGTACAAAGCATCAATCCTGTATCTAGCATGGGGAGATGGTGCAGGTACCCAATGCATTCTGTCAGGCTGGGCCATGATTCACAGGCAGAAGGGATTCAAATGGCCCTGGGCAGGCAGCCCTGGGCACAGCACAGCTGCTGAGTGCTGGGCTCGACAGCCTTAATGATGTTCTTTTAATGGAGCTTTTTATAAGTGCAGGATATAATATACAGTGCATGTCCTGCCTGCCTAGAATAGCTTTAAATAATGATTCAGGTGTATGCTCCAGCGTAAAGAACCATTGCACCATCATGCACAGACACTCAAATGCTTCTGAAATACACTTTAAGGTTTAGATTTGTGCTTAAAGAATTAACGTCTGCTTGGTAAAGTTTTCATTTCTCAGGATCTGGGCAATTCCCACGCAGGCAGTTTCTATGGGGCTTGATGCTGACCATACAAATTGTAAAGTTGGGACAGGCTGTGAGCATTTCTCGGTGCTGTTGCTGCCTGGAGGAATGCAGCTCAGCATGCAGGTGGAAGGAGGAGGAAGCCGAGCAGCAGGGAAGGAGAAGGAGCAGCCCTTGTGGCCCAGCAGGCACCCAGCACTGCACTCCAGAGCTGGAGATGCTGTGAAGGCTCCATCCCTGCTGGCAATGTCCCGTCTCATGGGGCTGATTTAGGGAGGTCACCTGTCACTTGGGTAAAGGTCGCCCAAGGTCCATGCTGTGGACAGTCCCCACGTTCCTGGGATGTCACATAATCATTTTATTTTACATCGCCTCAGTCCTGCCAGAGGAGGGAGGAGGAGAGGGAAGACTGCGAGGTCAGCAGCATCTTTATGGATGGTGGAGTGAATGTGAGGTGAAAGGCATCGTTGCTTTTGCCTCCCCAATAAACCCCTTTTCTCTGCCTGAACGGAAGCGGCGAGGAGATGTTCAGCTAATTTATATTAATTCAACTCCATTAATGATGAGATATCATCTCTTCCCTCAGCAGGAGAACCATCAAAAGGATTTAACACCGAGCTGCTCCTTTGACAACCCTGCATTACAGCCTGCAGCCATGCTCAGCCCTTCCCTGGTTTGATAGGAGAGGTGAGCTCTCACTAGTAGTGTTATTTGGGGGTGACTCCTTGCACAAACCTCAGCATCGCCCAGGGATCTCCATGGAAAAGGAAGGACACCCTGTGTCCCACAGAGTGGTGATGTGCAGTGGACGCATTAAGTGGCAGGAAGCCACGTGTTGTCTGAGTCACCGTCTACTCAATGAAGCAGCTATAGGGGCAGAAATGGCATTTTGGAGGGGATGTGGGCAAGGTTGGTGCCTGGGAGGGTCTTCTGTCCCACTGCTTGCAGCAATAGCAGCAGTGTTTGGGCCACCAGCAATGTCACTCCAGCAGCCAGCAGCACAGGCTCCTTGCTTGACCCATCATCGTGCAGGATGGGCAGGCTGGGATCACAGCCCCACGTGTGAATTAAACCCCCAGAAGGTCAGGGTCACTGCTGTCACACATAGACAATATTTTGGGCTCACATGGCCCCCACCCGTACTGCGGCAGTGGGCAAGAGGACTTGGTGCTAGTCTTGTGATTTAATTTCTCTCCTTGCTTCTGGCTGATAGCGTTAGACTCCCGGCCTCTGAAACACACATACAAATCCTGGTGGTATTTTTTTTTCTTCTCCTTTTCTTATATATATATATATATATTTTTTTTTTTTTAATATTTTTTTTATATTAACATATTTCCTTTTGAAACGGTGTGAGGCTTTTCTCAAAACTAATGGATTTTTTCCTCCCCTTGTCTGGGCCAAATGTATTCAAATCTTAACTCAGTTAAGTCAGAAGATTCCTATCGTCTCAGCAGGGAATCCCACCCTTTATTCCGCAAATCAGCATCCTTTTTATTTGACTTTCTGATCTCCAAAGGAAAAGGGATGCTTTTTTATTTTTTTCAGATTTTTTTTTTTAGTTTAACTCTGACGTTGATGTTGCAATGCTCTTTGATAGCCAAGAACACAAGGACTGACTTCAGGAGCAGCTGAAACTTCATCAGGAACCAAAGCATAAAAAAAGAAGGGATGGGGAGTGGGGAATGACAGAAAGTGATACTGTTGAAACAGCCCTTTGAAATTTCCCAAATGATGTTTGATCTGTGGGTCCCTTAAAGCGGCTGCGATGCGTTCAGTATCAAACTGATACGTTTTATGGGGGAGGGAGGAGAAGAGTTTTAATTTTTTTTTTTTCTGATGCTCAGAAGAAATAAGTTTAATTTTAACCTGTGTGACTCCACCTGGGTGTTTTTTAACACGCATTTATCTGGCATTCAGAAGGATCCTTTAATCATTTTTTTTTT